CATTCATTGCCATTTTTTGGGGAAGTGTACCGGTAGGACCACCCCGGTCGCTTCACAACTGTGGCACATAAATGATACTGTCACACAACGCTCGGGAGCCATTGAGACCCCGAAGATTTCTGTTGTTACAAGCATCAATTCTAAAAGTCTATCGACCTAATCTCAAGATGGTGCCCGCTCTCGAAGGTCCCGACTACTCCAAATATGGGCTCTGAAGAGCCAACGTCAAAATTCAACAGACTAACTTTACATAAACACTGAGAATAAATTCGAAGACTTGAAGAAGAAAATTTTTCTTATATAGCCAAAAATATATTTACAAGAGGCGTCTTTGCAAGACCTTTTCCCCCGGGAAGTTCATATACAAAAAAGAATGGAAGACAACGTGGGCCTATTCTTCATCGTCACTACTCTTCGGGTCATCTCCGGAACCCTCATCCGAAGTAGCCGAGAATGCCAATTCTTCTTCTAAGTCTCGGGCTTCCTCAATCTTAGCTGAGAGATTGGCGCCTTTAGCGCTTTCTTCCTCGAAAGCTTGCCTCCTTGACTTTGCACGAGTGTAAGTTACGACCCTATCCAGCTTCGGCTTGGCTTTCTCCAATATTTCTCAGGCTCGTTCATTTGCAGTCGCGACATCTTTCCTGTATGAAGATGCATCCTCTTTGACCTCAGACTTGGCCGCAGATAGTACGACAACCTCCTTTTGGGAACTTTGAAGAAGATCCCGGGTCTATGCCAGCTCCAATCGCAAAATGTCCCTCTTCGAGGCCACGACCTCATTTTTCCCCCTCAGCTCGAGGATCTCCGCATCCTTGGCTGCAGCCTCTTCCTGAAGGCGCCCCACAATAGTATCCTTTTGCCCTATCTGTAAAGACAAGACAAAGTTTGTAAGTATCAAGCTACGAGAATAAAAAACAAACTCATGGATGTCGTGTTACCGGCTCAGCATGGTCATCCCTTTCCTGGCACTCTCCCTTCAAACTGGCCTAAAGCCTGCTCAACTCTTCCCCCTTTCGGGCAGAGGAGGTCCTTGACTCTTTTAACTCAGAAGTAAGCTTATCGACCTCCTTCCCACAGCATGAAAGCTCACCTTGGGGCCTAGAGAAGGCATGGTCATACATCTTCTTAGCCTGAAACAACACAGAAAAATCAGAAAGTCGAGCACAAAGATTTAAAGCACAAGTGATATGTTAAGAGTATCACCTACTGCTGAAGCCTCTCCGCCTCCTCGAGAGCAACGGGATTATCGAGATCAATATTATTGTTGTTACCAGTGAGGAGGTCTTCGAGCACATCTCCCCCTCCATGAAAAGCCCTCGCACCGCGATATCCTGATCCTGAGCATCCCTGATCTCCCCCGGTGATTATGGAGGACCTAAATTAAGGCCACTTAGGGAATTAATTTCCTTAAGGGACTCGTCTTGCCCGCGAGAAGCTTCGGGTTCAGGACCTGCGGAGTCACCAATAGCGGGTTCATTAGAACGGACTGTGCCATGTCCGACTTGAGACTCGGGGACTACCCTCGAGCCTTCCTCGAGGGTGTCTTCGGTGCAGGTCTGGTCCAAATCAGCCACCTTTGATTTGGCGGCCTTCCGCCCGATAGCTTGCGGAGCATCTTCACCTCGTCTCGCCTTTTGTACCAAAGGGCATGCACTATCATCATCACCTTTACCCTTGGTACGAGGACTTGCCATAGCAGCCGAAGCCGAGACCGTGGTGTCCTTCTTCCTCTTCTTACCCTTGCTGGGTTTCGAGGTGTCCTCTTCACCAGCAGGGGCCGACCTCATCAACACTCTATCCCTTAGTCCTGCACAAGCATGATACATCAAACAAAAGGATACTTATAAGGGAGCATAGTAAAAATAACGGTAAAAAGCATACCGTGGCTCTTGGCCTGCCACCGCGTTCTGGCCAAGTCGCGGCAAGAGCGCTCAACATAAGGAAATTTGGAGTCCAACTGTCTAATCCATCCCGATAGGTTCTGAACTGCACCAGGGTACCAAACAGTGGCTGCAGAATCAAAAGAAGATCATTTTTCAAAAGGGGATGAAAGGGAAATAAAACATGCTCGAGGTAGGGGCACTTACGCTGCGTATTCCATTCCTCCGGGAATAGCATCATATTGGCCGGGATTACGTCCAAGGTCCTCACTTGGATGAACTGGCTCATCCACCCCCGATCCTTGTCCTTATCAATGCACAAAAAGAACGTCCTCATAACTCGAAGATATAGCTTGATCAAACCGTGAAAGAGACGGGGGCTATATAGTCTGATCAAGTGATTGAAAGTGAAGGACATACCCTTGACTTGATTAGAAAAATATTGGAGCATATAGACTATCCTCCAGAATAAAGGATAAATTTGGCCAAACGTCACCTGGTACTCTCGACAGAAGTCGAGGATCACTGGGTCTACCGACGGAGAAGAAGGGTCCGAAGAATCTATGGGACCTAAAGTAAAGGGGTATGTATATACACTGAGAAAGCCAACCTTATGGTCTACTGTGCTTTCAGCAGGTCTGGGAATCTCAACTGACATTGCTGCCCCCCCATTGGCAGTCTTTCTTCACTCTATCTATATTGGTCACCACGCTGATGCACCGAGACACATACTCGCATCGGCCTGGTGCAGCAGAAGGATTCTCGACGAAAAAATCGAACACAAAATCGAATTTAGTAGGGGTACATTGTTCGACAGTTGAGGGTACTTTTGGTTTACCCTTGGATGGTCGAGACGAAGAAGTAGTGCTCTCTTTCTGAGGCACTGTTTTAGAGGTCCTAGCCATGGCTATAAAAAGGTTTCTGAGAAAGGAAACGAGGAGGCAAACACAGAAAGGAGAGGAATGTAGTAGACAGTAAACTTAGCTCTATGGGATTGAAGATGTTGTAAAAGTGTGATAACAAAGCAATTGAGGTATTTATAGAAGGTGTGTGGGCAGTGTTTGGGAAGCGGAAGGGCCGAACCAGTAGCGATTCGTAGGCTTCTCGATAGTTGTGTTGGCAGCGACTCCTGCACGACTTTTAAGTCATGACATTTAATGCTCTGATGGACTGACGTCATGGTAAGTAAGTATTGCGTAGGCGAGAATTCAAGACCATTTCCATTCTAATCTAAGAAGCGCGGGGACTATCTGTATACGACTAAAATTGAAGAGCCCGATTTTATGATCATTATGATATCCTGCAGCCCGTTCTAGGCTCTAGGTCGGGTTCGAGGCCCGACTCCGAGGGCTTCCATATGCTTGATCTTGAGGTAGTGCAAATCAACGGCTATGATGGACTAGCAGGAAGTTCCCAAGGCACGTGACTAAAGCTGACCAAATTTATCAGGCTAGCTCAAGCCCGTACTATAGCATTAAATGGTTGTACCAGTCATATATCTTTATAATAAACGCATTTGTACTATGTTGGGTTTTCCCCTTGATATATAAGGGGGACCCTTGTCATTTTGTAAAGAGGAATACATTTCATTATTCATAACATTCAATTCAAGAACATTCTCTGCTTTCTAACTTAAACATATTCTCTTGGTTTCACTACTTACATTTATTGTTTATATTTATTGTGTTCTATTTATTGTTCTTCATTTATTGCTTATTATTGGTCATAAAGAGCCTTTATCAAAGCTCTCAAATTGTTAGTCCTTCATCGGCTGTCCATAGCTCAGTATCGAGCTCGACCTCGAGGCCCCGATTCTCAGTCGCTCGGTTTTCCTAAAGCGCTATTTTCAAGTTCTTATCTTATTTTTCTAGTCTCATACTTAGTATTTAGTGTCTAACAACTAGTATAAAAATAGACCACGTATTTTTAGAACCACAAAATCAAATTTAATTATAATTATCATTTTCCAAGTAAACACATTCGCATATCATTAAATCACTTAACCATACTAAATTAATATGATTTTCTTAAACATTCTGATACAATAAGTATTTACCCTATTATCGTGCCATGTGACACGAAAGATACTTATTGGTCCACTTCACCATATTTGTGCGAAGACGGAATTCATGGTTTGCGTGTACGTTTCCAAACCAAGTCCGATCATATTTCGACCCAGTTGCCTTTCAATTGTTGTCCAGTAGAAATTAAGAACTGTTTTACGCAAAAAGAACCTTGGATTTGAAAATAAAAGGTTGTGTTTATATTACCAAGTGGCATGTATGTGTCAATCACTATCAGTAATTTTTTTACCACCGACGAGTGTTATAAAATTTTTGGTATGTTCGTAAGTACACTAGATTCAATCTTGAATCATTCAAATACTATCCTTTACCAAAGATTCAGCGAGACTTTTAATCGTCGAAATATTATTTTAATCTATACGATAACCGTATATCAATAATTGCTTTTCCCTTATGTAGATTCCTAGAACTTCTCAAGTGACATTTTTTTTCTGTATTATGTTAATGAGTTACGCGAAATAAGTAAACAAAAAAAATTATTTAATTATTCTTATTGTGGCTGCGCTCCTAAGATGTAGAAATGGTGTGTCCCCACGGGGCATTTAAGAGAATATCCAATCTTCCCTTGCCAAAACCCAAAAGTCGCGAAAGAAATCCATTTAATTCCTACATCTTCAACTTTTCCTTATTAAAATAAATGTAACACAATTAATAAAATAAAGCATCTAAATTATATATATGTTTTAACTATAAAGAATCTTATGTTATCCGTTAACCTTGAATAATATTTTAATAATTAAATTTAAAGATAATAAACTTTTAAATAAAATGACGCTCGGTCAAAAAGTATATGTTTTAAGTGATATTATTCAAAAATTCAAAATAATGATGTAATTTCCTCTAAATTAAGAGAATAACAGAATATCATCAAAAGTTTATAGTTTAGTGGAACCAATTTCCCTTTTTATTTTCTTGATTCTTCAATATAATGGAAAAATTAAAAGACAAAAAGGGAATATAGAGGAATAGTTCACTCAATTTAATCACATTCGACCATAAGCGTAGGCATATCCACTAATTTCGCTCTTATATATTTGTCCTTCCTCTTCGCCACATATTCTCATCCTTCATTTCTATGTCCACCAATTTTATCGGATCACAACTATTCCTTTTAAAACCTCTTTCCTCTCACAACAATCTCTCAACTTTCGCCATGGCCGCTTGTATTCACTCTTCAAGAACCAAAACTCCTCCTACAAATCCCCTTTCTTGCAATCCAAACAAGCCCCAAATCGACAATCATGTCTATAACTACGTTAAATACTGTCGACCCAATTTCCCTGACCTTGTTTCCTGCGCACCCATTCCTGAAAAAAACTCCAAAATCGGTCGCGACGAAGAGGAAGACGATTTATGGCTAAAAATGAAAGACGAGGCTAGATCAGACATTGATCAAGAACCCATTTTGTCTAATTACTACATAACTTCAATCTTGGCTCATGATTCTATGGAAAGGGCTTTGGCTAATCATCTTTCAATGAAATTGAGTAATTCAAGTCTTCCTAGCAGTACTTTATATGATCTTTTCCTGGGGGTGCTCACAGAGGATTGCTCACAAGATATAGTTAAAGCTGTTGTAGCTGATTTAAGGGCTGTTAAAGAAAGGGACCCAGCTTGTATTAGTTACGCACACTGTTTCTTGAATTTTAAAGGTTTTTTAGCATGTCAAGCTCATAGGATTGCTCATAAATTATGGTCAAATGGTAGGCAAATTTTGGCACTGTTGATACAAAACAGGGTATCTGAAGTTTTTGCTGTTGACATACATCCTGGAGCTAAAATTGGTAAAGGGATTTTACTTGATCATGCTACTGGAGTTGTGGTTGGTGAAACTGCTGTGATTGGAAATAATGTGTCAATTTTGCATAACGTGACATTAGGTGGCACTGGAAAAATATGTGGGGATAGACATCCGAAAATTGGTGATGGGGTATTAATTGGTGCTGGAACTTGTGTTCTTGGAAATGTTAAAATTGAAGATGGAGCTAAAATTGGGGCAGGGTCGGTTGTGCTGAAGCAAGTTCCGGCGAGGACTACCGCCGTTGGGAATCCGGCAAGGTTGCTCGGAGGGAAGGAAAATCCAAAGAAACTTGATAAGATTCCTAGTTTGACCATGGACCATACATATGAGTGGTCTGATTATGTAATTTAGAGGAATAATAAAGTTTTATTTTTGTTTACTATTGTTTTAGTTTTTTTTTATTAGATTAATGAAATGCTCCTCGAGGAATTTTAGTTTCAGGGAGAATATTTCCTTGAGTGGAGATGTTGTACAAGCCATTTACTCCTAGGTAAGTGGTTTTATATTAAGAGATTACTGTTCTAGATTTCTTGCTATAGTAAACGGTTCAAATGCAGTCTGACAAAGATTGAGCTACTTACAATTCATAGTTGGATGAAAGGGCAAGTCTCGGTGCACTAAGCTCTTGTCGTGTGCGGGATTTGGGAAAAGGTCAGATCACAAGAGTCTGTTATATGCCGTCTTACCTTACATTTCTATAAAAGTCTGTTTCTATCGCTCGAATTTGTGACCTCCTGATCGCATGACACCAACTTTACCAGTTGAATAAGAATATATGTATATCACCATTTTGGCATGGAAATTAATAGGTATGTGCCTCATAGGATTTGCTTCAAATCAAAGGTGGATCTCGGTGGATTTGGTAAGTTCAATCGAACCCATTGTTTTTGGTTCGAACTTGTACATGTGCAAAAATAAAATTTTAATATAACCCCATAATACGATCATATCTTAAATCTACTAAACTCTAAATTATGAATTTGCCTCTATCTAAAGGTAGGATTGTTGCTTATCATCAAACTTCCCTCTTTGTTCTTGCCCTTTCCAGCGGTGTCACGTGGCACCGATTGGTAAAACAATCACTAAAATATTTTAAATAATAAATTATAAACGATATAACAAGTAAATACCATTACAGTGACACCACACCGCTTGAACAGGTGAGGTGCTCCAACGGTCTAACCTAGTAGTTTGACTCTTTTTAAGTGTGAAGCTGCTTAAACAAAATTTTGCATACGTCACTAGTAGTAATACTTGCAAATAGATGTATATATATCTTTTTTGGGCAAAAAAGTATTGAGTTTTTTGCTAAACTAATTAAATAAGAAGACTTTAGGTAAATCTTAGCTAATGATAATTCATTCTAGATCTATAATAAAAGATGAGAGTAAGCAAGCATAGCACACATAAGATTTAACTGTAATATTGATTAAACCACACTATATGGGAAAAAATGATAATTTTCATAATGTTTAACAATCAGTAAGGAATACACGGATGGAAATGTCACCTATCTTTAATAAGGTTGAATCTCATATATTGGGTGTGATAAGACTAACGATCGCGTTTGAGATCTGAGCTTCTTTGCTTCTTTCTCCTTCATGAGAGAGAAAGATGATCCTTCCTCCCTTCTTTAGAGAATGTCTCTGTATTTTTGTTTTTTTCCGGCCCTTTCTTCTTCTTCTCACTTAGTTAATATACTAGATCTCCTCTCTTAGCCAACGGTTATTGACCATTGTATTTGAGTCGTTTGTCTATATTACGAGTTGACCCCTTGAAATGTCATGATATCCAATTCGTCTCAGATATCCCAAATACACGACCTCAGTTGTGGCAGAGGTGTGTCTCGTTACAGCATGGTACGGACACGACAGCTCCAAGTAACCTTCCTTCGCCTATTCCCATGCTGATTCTTGTTTGGTTAGATTTTGGCCCATACAGTTAGTCCCTACGCCCGTTGGGGTCGCCTCTTGGCAAGCTTGATGGGCGGACTCTATTGTTTCAAAAATTGGGAGAAATTTGAATGCTTTATACGAGGGGCGAGCATCTCATGGCGAGGTAGCAACATGACGTTTCGAGAATTACGTCGGACTATTACATCAGTTTAGTATTAGACCATCACGTCAGTTCAGGATATCATAAACACTTCTTATGCGTCATTATGGCGCACATTTTCTATGCATTATGTCATTTTCCGTGCCCTTTCCGTTTTCTAAATGGTGGCGTTTAGGTCTCCCGCTCAGGGCATTCATATTCCTATAAATAGGGGAAAATCTTCCATTTGAATGTTACACTTCTCAATCGCTCAAGAGACTCTTACAACCCTTCTTCTTCTTCTTCTTCTTCTTCTTCTTCTTCTTCTTCTTCTTCTTCTTCTTCTTCTTCTTCTTCTTCTTCTTCAGTTTCTCATATTTCTGCTTCTGTGAGGATTTGCTGGGACTGCCACCTTTTTTCCCTCGTCACTCTCGTTTCTTTTAATCAATAGAAAAATGGCTAGTGCTTCTTCCAACTCTGACAGAGCTGTTGATGCTCTGGTGCCGGAAAATGATGCACTCCTAATTGAAGAGGGGGTGGAGACGGTGGAGGATGTGGGTTTTCCGAAGGTAAATGAGGTGGTCCCCCGCCTGGGGAAGACGAGGACTGGCTTTAATAGTACCGCTAGAGACGAGCCATAGCCCGTTCCTTCCACGATGGATGCTGCGGCGCTCACGGCGTTCAAAGTCGGATGGGGGATCCCGGAGCACATCGAAATGGTGCCGGCGGATTAGGACATAGTGCATTTACACCGCCCGGGCTACTGCGTATGTTATGCGTATCCCTTTTTCATCGGGTACACGTTTCCCCTTCCTTCCTTGGTGGTGGATTTCTGCCGCTTCTATGAGGTGTGCCCGACTCAACTTTCTCCGTACGCGTACAAGCTTTTCCTTATGCTCATCAACTATGCGGAGCTGGCCGGTCGAGGAATTTCTCTAGGACACATGCTTCACCTCTTCGCCCCCCATTTTCTTCGGGGTACGATGATTCGCATGCGTCACCGATGAACCAAGAGTTTGGTGGTCAAAATGGACAACAAGGCAAATCGCCACTTTTGGGAGAGCTTCTTCTACATCCGAATAGAGCACATTGTGCTGAACCCGGTGGGGTTTCCTGAGACGTGGAATTTCGCCCGTAAGTCTTTTCTTTTTACTTTATGCATTTTCTCTTAAGATGGTCGTCGGTCGTCTCCCTTTAATGACCTCGTTGAGGGTTTATTTATGTTCTTGCAGCTGAGAGAGTACCTCCTCCGCTAGTTGCTGATATTCGTGAGTGGGTGAGCGCGATTCTTCCCCATACGGTGGGGATTCGAGAATGGGCACCTTTCCATGAGAAGTTCGGGCGCAAGCCTCTTGTTGGTGAGTTGGCTCGTTGTGGCCCGTTACTTTGTTCTTTGATCCGTATTTTCTTTTACCTTACCCTTGCTTGATTGAATCTCTTCTTATTGGTAGGTCGGAGAGGATTGAGAAGGACGAGGGCTCTTGCGCTCGCTTTTTGCTAGTCGGCCTCCTCTGCCGGACCCGTTCAAAGGGCATCTGTGGGTGAGAGCACTCAACGCGTAGTTGCACGGCAGACCACGTCGGTGACCGGGCATGTTCGTTAGGAGGTTGCTCCCCATTCAGATACTCTGGTTCTCGCCGTCTGTTCAATGGGCGAGCCTTCTCGTAACAGTGGCGAAGAGGTACCGTCAAAGAGGCGGAGTTGTCAGAGGGAGCGTTTTTAGTTGAGATGTCCTCTAGGGTTGACCCTACTTTGGTGGTATTTCAAGCTGGTGGTAACATCGACCGGGGTGCAGAGGTAACGCCTACTTCGGTTGCTGAAAAAGATCACCATGGCGGGGAGGAGGGGAGGGAGGCAAAGTTCGGGGGCTGCCGTGGTTGTTCCGAGTGATCCATCGTCATCTCGGCAGAACCGTGTCCCTTATTCGGCTAATGAGAAGGGGAAAGGCGTGGTTGTGGATGATTATGAATCAGATTCCGACATCGACCCTGAGGATATGAGGATGTTCGAGAAGGGATTTACCAGGGTCGATGTAAGGGCGGAAGGTCCTTCTGGTGTACTCGAGATTCCATCGGATTTCAATATTTTGGAGGACGCGGTGGAGTTGGTGCCTCAATTCTACCTTCTGTGTTCTGCCGTCGAGAGCGAGTCTTTTCGGGAGATCAACGATTCCTCTTTATCACGAGGCATGGCGGGGATGGTCTTGAGGGGTGAATTTCTTTTTGCCATTTTCTTTGTTTTGCGCTATTTTGTCTTCGCTAATTTCTCCCCTCTTTTTCTTCCCACTCTTTTTTTTAGACTTACATGTTGGAGATTGAGATCGCTCGTAAGGCTGAGACTAGGGCCGAAGTCTTTTTGAAAATGAGCACGAAGTATCATCGGTACCGTGACAAGTGCCGTGAGATGCACGCGCAACTTAGTGCGGGCAGCAATACTCAGTCTGTTAGGGAAGAGTTGGAGAAAAGGGATGAGGAACTGATGCGGTCAATCCGCAGGTGCAGCGAGCTTGAGGAGTTATTCCATTCCAAGGACGAGGAGCTAGAAGTGGTCAAAGGGGTCCCGATGGAGTGTGAGGACCTTCAGGCGAAGGTGTAGTCTTTAAGGGCCGAGCTTGAACAGAATGCCACCAGGGTCACCGATTTAAGAGTAGAATGGACGGAGAAGGTGGCCGAGCTAGAAAAGAAGGTGATCGAGTTGGAGATATCTGAGGGGGCTCGAGTATCAGCTTTAGTGAGGGCGGCGGCGCTAGAAGACACTATCCACGTCCTCAAGTCTGAGCAAGAATCTGAGAGGGCGATGGCTACACTGAGGGAGGCGCGACTCGAGGAGCGTATTGGTGAAATTGATCGGGAAGCTTAGAGCCTGGGAGACCGAGTCGCGGTTCTTGAGGCTGAGAAGGCGCAACTGTTGGCTCAGGCTATCCCTTAAGAATATGCCTCTATGGTTGTCCCCTGCCATTTGTATGAGCTATGGGTCCATGCTGAGGCCCAACGAGATATTTACAAGGGTTTGTGGGAGGCGGGGAGTGTTCTTGAGGCTGCTTTTGAAGATGTTCGGGCAAAGGCACGCGAGGCTCGTATTGCTTGCAGTTATGACCCCTGCGACACCGGAGGCCGATGAGGGTGTTGAGATTGAAGGACTTCTTCCTAATGATGATGATGCTGGGGAGAACGGTGGTGGAGATGACACCGAGTGAAACTTTGTTGCAGCCTTTGTACTTAGTTTTTTTGTTCTTTTGTTGTTTATTTTCATCTTTTTATTGAGGGCCCCTTTTTGGCCTTTTAGAGGTGCGACTGTTGCGCACGTACATTTTTAAAATAGAATTTTTACCGTTGTTTATGTATCTTCTGACTTTCTCTCTCCTTTCTCTTTTCCCACAAAGATCTTCGGATTTCCCTGGTAATGAGTCCATGATTTTTAATTGGGAATTCGAACGAGGTTGAGTTTAGTTTGCTTGATCCGAGCGGGATCGGATCTTGTTTCGTGAGTTTGAAT